AGACCTCTATAAGTGCCCTTTGCCTCCTAGTTCTTTCCTCTATTTCCTTTTACTTTCCTCTTGTCCCACTATCGTGCTCAACCTTCATTTGGTTTTCAGTAATTCCTCTCAGTTACATTGCCCTTGATCAAGCTCTACCAGGCCTTCTAAACCCTCCTTGCTATCGATTTTGGATCACTTGTTGTTCCCAATTTGTTATCTTAAAAGGGGGCCAGAAATAAGAGTTACTGTACAATAAATAAGGAACCCTGATGGCGTAGTGAGCTATGTGTTTGACTGTTAACTACAAGGTCAGCTATTCAAGCCCATGAGCTGCTCTGTAAGAGAAAGATGGAACTTTCTGTTCTTATAAGGATCTACAGCCTCAAAAATCTACAGGAGAAGTTCCACTCCATCCTACAGGGTCGCTGTGAGTTGTAATTGACTGATAATAAATAGATATTCAAATGTTCTGAAATGCAAAATAGGTCTGTCAGAGTCAAATTTCTTCATTAAAATTAAAATGTTCCAGTCTTTCAATTTTCACAATATTTTTCAGTATTTTCAATTAAAATGTTCCAATATAAAATTAAAATGTTCCAGTTATAAGATGGCACTACTTCTTCACCTGTGCACAGAAACTCTTTAAAGAAAAGTTAGAATTAAGAAGCTTGAAGTCAACCTCAACTCTGAAACATTTACCATGAATTCTCTATCCATTGACTTCTATATATTAAAATGTGTTCTGAAATGTTTACTGTGTAACTTGCAGAAGAAAAATTTAGATCTTCAAAATATTTATGAAAATTACTATGGGGTCTTCCATTTTCAACACTGAATTGCCCTCACCTACACCTTCCATGTATGTGCTGTTTCAATTTCTTTGTTCCTTTCCATTCTTCTCAAGCTATGTTCCAGCTTTGCAGTATCCAATCTGTAGTCTCTGTATATATTTCACAGCCTCCCAGACCAAAACACACTGCCATCTAATCGATTCTAACTCAGAGTGACTCTATAGGGCAGAAAGCAGAGAAGAAGTTCCCATTTTGAGTCCCAAACCTGTAAATCTTTTAAAGGTTGCAGAGTGAGTGGTAGGTTCAAACCACTGGCTTTATGATTGGCAGCTCAATGTGTAACCAACTAGCCACGATGACTTCATATATAGCTTCCTTTGCAAGTCCCTTAATACCTATTTCTTTTTCAAATATGCTTAGCTTCTTTGTCTTATCCTGTAATTTGTGGGTCTAAATTCTTATATATCAAACTAGGATGATGAATCAGTATAACTGAATAGCTGAGAATATAGTAGAACACCACATCTAAGAAACTAGAGCAGACGCATCCTATCCAATGTAATTTTCTGAATCAGACACACACACATACACACACACACACACACACACACACAGGAACCAGCCTGAAAACCAAGACACCAAGAGAAATGTATGCTGTTGTTGGTGGGCTGTATTACCCATATTGTGAACTGTTTTAAATTGTCCAACTGTTCTCCAAGACTCAGGATTTTTGTTTGGAGTTGGTTTTATATTGTTTCTCCACATGTTTTCTATTTCTTCTTCATATTAGACTATCTCTATTGATCCATCCTTAAGTTCACTGACTCTTCTTTCCATTGCCACTTAGCTACTAATCCCCTGTGA